ATGGCATAGAATCTATAAATGATCCACAATATTCCACTTTGCCCTCTCCCATTAAAATACACTCCCTCCATGCTGGACTGGGGGGAGAGAGTGGGGAAGGGGAAAAGTCCTGCCCATGGCACTGATGTGCTAGTAGGGGGTTCCCAGAAGCTCTCTATACTTGTTTGCAAGACAGGCCCCACATTGGTTCTTTACCTTTCATCTTTGAAACTTGTCCTTGAAGGCGATGTTCAAGATCCAACTTTTGCTTTTGAAGTTCAGAAATCTGTTGTCTGAAGTCTGGGATCATCTTTATAAAGAGGAAACAAAATTTCAATAATTTAGTGTCTCAATATTATACAGGCAGTCCCCAGGTTACATGGATCCGACTTACATCGGATCCCTACTTACAAACGGGGTGAGGAAACCCCGCACTAGCTGCTTCCCCCCAGCAGACCAGGGAGACGCGGAGCGGCTTTTCTCAGCAGACACCTCAGCTTGAGAATAAAGGACTGAGGGAAGTGAGGTGTGGGAGAATAAAACTGAGCTCTGGAGAAATGTTTGGCTGGAGTTTCCCCTACAATATGTACCAGTTCCGACTTACATACAAATTCAACTTAAGAACAAACCTACAGTCCCTATCTTGTACATAACCCGGGGACTGCCTGTACATGAAATTTTAAACAGCTGAATTGGTTTAAAGGAAACTGTGTCATGGTTTTAATTTTTCCAGTTCAATTTATTTTTAGAAAGTATTACTCATACAATATATTACAAAACACTTCAGAGAGAAAATATTATAGACTCCATTTTTTAAATGAGTTTCATCTCAGTAACTTCAAACTCAATTTTGAAAGTATTTCTCATACTCTTTTACTTGTTTCCAACCAAAAGAAATAACACTATCCACTACAGAATACATTTCCTTCTTGGAAATGTGTATTCCATTTGCATCAATATCAGGATGGCTCAAGTGGTAGCACAACCACCTCTTGGTCAGAAAATTTTGTATGTTCAAGTTCTCAAACGGACTTTGGACTTAGAACCAATGCTTGTAATTTACTGGCTGTTTTATATGACAAACTGCCTCTTGGTGGAGAGACTATCAGGCTGCTCAAACATATGAGGCATCAGGTTTCAATTTTTTTTCATTTTGTGGACCCCTAAAAAAATTCAAATGTAGGTGCAATTCTGTGGAAATCTTAGACATGGTCGGTGGATCCCATGGGGTCAGTGGACCAGAGGTTGAAAACCACTTTGATATGGAAGATATGGGATTTAATGCTAGTTGACAGATTATCTTTAAGCTTATATGCTAGAGCAGTGTTTCCCAATTTTATTTGGCCACGGAACCCTTTTAAACTCAAAAGAATTTTGTGGAACCCCTAATAGCAGTCTTAAATATGGAGCTGAAAAAGTAGACCCTAAATAAGTAAGGATAATAATAAACAAATGCTAAACAAGGTCATGAGATCAACACAAATGAAAATTGTTTTCAATAAAATTCATAAATGATTAATATTAATTATTATTTTTAAATAACAACATGTTATTGTAATGGAATTTTCTCACGGAACCCTTATTTTCACTTCATGGAACCCTGGGGGTCCCCGGAACACCATTTGGGAAACACCGTGCTAGAGGACTGGTTCCATTCACATGCTAAATGTTTGCAAAATATCTGGCAGTCCTGCTGGCTGCATGCATTCAACTCCAAGGTATCATCATGACTGGCACCCAATTATTGGAGCTGAACTCTTTAAAACTGCAGAATGTTGAGCTTTGGAACTGGGACAGGCTGACTGCTTACCCAGGTGGTTACAATGAAAAAAAATCACCATCTTTCAGAAGAAGCAGTAAAATTGGCTTTGTTGTCTGTTCCAAGTGGTTGTTAAAAGTCCCACGACACGTTTTAAAACTAGTACAGGCAGTCCCCGACTTACGTCGGATCCGCAGATACGAACTGGGCTGCCCCAGAGTACACGGACTGCGGGACCTCGCGGTCCTGCCGCCCGTGTACTCTGGGGCTTTCTCTGCGTCTCCCCGGTCTGC